CTCCCCCTCACTGCTCTCTGCTCGCTCCCTAACGCTGCTCTTCTCGCTGTCCCCCCCTCTCTGTGCCCCCTCCCCATTTCTGTCCCCCCATTTCTGTCCCCCCATTTCTGTCCCCCCATTTCTGTCCCCACGTTTCTTTCCTGCCGCTCTGCCGCCCCCCCCTCCCGCACCCCCCCAGCCCCGCCGGGCCCCCCCGGGACCCCCCCGGGCGAGGGGCTCCTGCTGCAGGAGAATGTCTCAGCCGAGATCCGGGCGCTGCTCAGCTCCTACTACAGCGACAGGTGACGGGGGGGGGACAGGGGGGGGACCCCCAGACAGCCCCCCCAAAACCGCCACAGCACCCCCAGAATGGCCGTGGGGACTGGGGGGGGCAGGAAGGGACCCCCAAACCCCCACACCGCCAGTGAGGGGGTCCATGGGGAGCTGGGGGGGCACTGGGTGTAGTAGGGGGGGCTTTCACAGCCCCCACCCCACGGCACAGCAGCGGGGGGGGGGGTCCGGGGAGGGTCTGGGGACACCCCTGACCCGCCGTGACCCCCCTTTTTCCCCCCTCCCCAGCTATTGACCCCTCGGATGACATCGCGGCGGTGACCGACATCCTGACCCGGCACGGGGGGGCTCCCCGTGCGCCGGGACCCCCCCCGTGGCTGTCGCTGTTTGAGGGGCCCCCCCTGCGCAGCCCCAGCCCCCCCCGCCGGGGCCGACCCCGCACGCTGTCCCTCGACGCCCGGCTCAGCACCCTAAAGGGTCGGGGGGGTCCCCCAAAACCCCCCCACTCCAGCTCCTCCAGCAGCGGCAGCAGCAGCCCAGGGCCCCCCCAGCGCGACCCCCCCAGACCCCTCCAGTCCCGGGTCTGACCCCCAGAACCTGGGGACACGGGGGGGGCAGGGGGGGGATGGACCCCCTGCGGGCTCCCAGCTTCTGTTTTTGGGGAGAAACTGGAATTTTTGCCCCTCCCCATTCTGGGGTGGGGCTCAGGGCTAAACTCCAAAAAGTGGGGGGGGAGGGGGGTTCCCCTCCCCCACCACAGGGTGGGTGCTCAGGGTTTAACCCGGGGGGGACACAGAGCCCCCCCAGCTCTGCTTTCCCTCACCTCTAACCCGGGGGGGGGACACAACCCCCACCCCCCCGGCAGGCCCCTCCCCCTCATTAATAATATTCACTAATAATTTGCATTAAAATTTATTTAACAGCTGCTGTGTGTGCTTTTGGGGGGAGGGGGGGTGGGTGGGAGGTGGGGGGGGGTCCCTGTGC